GCAGCAAATACGCTTCAGATCCCTATAGCGGTCCCGCATAGCGCGCGATCTCAGCGTGGCCCTGTAGCCGGCATCTTTTTTCACTGCAACCTCCTGACACTCCTCATCGTACCAGTTGTTCTTTCGGGCACTTAATGAGCGGGAAATGTGGTTCCACTGCTCGAATATCTCGGCTTGTTGAAGAGTGCTATCTGAGAGCAGATGTGAGAGTCGAGTAGCGAATGCATTGGCTGTCTGTTGTGATTGCATCTTTTCGACGTTAAACTTTCCTTGCATATTTGGGCGCACATTTTTTGCCGCACAGAAGCGGGTACGTATCGTTTGGGCCTCGGAGTGTGCGTACGTTCAAAACACTGTAAGCATGCCTTCCGTCTAACACAACATGGTCGATTTGGTTTCTCGTTTTTCGATCCGGATCAGCGCTCGTGCGTGCGCTCCAACGCTCATAGAAGAGATTATTGGATATCTCATCCTTCTCTTCCGTTGGGTGTGGGCGCAGATGAGCGGGGATTTGTCTTGCTTCTTCACTGGAAGTGGTTTTTACGTGGCGGGTCCCAAACCCAGCGCACAACCCATTGCTGGGACGGGGGTGGTTTCGCAACCAAATACACGTTTATATAGCGAGCCGCTTATTCCGAGACAGACGTTGAGACTTCGACAGATGCTGCATACTTCAGTGATCCCTTCAACCGAATAAGTCGGAGTGGCCCTACCGAAGATCCCTCTGTTTCTGCCATGACCCAAGGATCCACTCGGATTGGTTACCGCATCTCGCACAAGGATTGCTCACGTTGCCAAGAGTGCGCGACAACTGTAACTGCATACACAGCACAACGACTATACCCTATTGCACTACACTGACTGAAGACCTATTCTGATCTAAATCAATTGATAGACCGTTTTTTAGTTCCATTTGACAATGTGTTTTCACTTATTTGACGACAAATCCCATTGAATTTGACATAGTGAAAACCAGCCTTCACGCTATAAGCTCGGAACTTACCTGTCACCATCACTGTCTGTTCAGCCTCGTGTGATTTACATACCTATTTTTTTATATAGTTATGAATATATGTGCGAGCACAAACATACACACATACATATACTATATGCATAAAAAAATTATAAAGTGTCATATATTTTTACTCTCTTTTCTCACCAAGTTTATTGTTTCAACCAATTAATTTACATTACAAATCCACATCAAACCTGAACACAAATTCTTGTATACGCATCAAAAAATATCAACATTTGCCATTTTGTCTTGTCTCTGAAATAACCAATTTCACATTCCTTATGCTTTGTACTACCATTATACACATTTTATATTATGTATGAATATGCATTCAGACAACTTACGCCTGCTATGTGCTATGCACATTTGTATTTATTTTCTTAAGTTGTACCCGTATATCCTTAAAATTTTTTTAAATTTTAAATTTTTTTGTGTACTTATTTTGATAGATTTATGTACTTGACATACTGTCATTGAACAGACGCATTCGCTGTATGTTTGTATGTAGTACATATCGAGTCCTAACCGCCAAAAAGATGTAAGCGACATTTTTTTCAAAATTTTCTTTTTGATGCAGAAAATTTCGCTTACATCTTTTTGGCGTTTAGGGCTCGATATGTACATATGTATTTGCGTTTGCTTTTCGGTAGGTTTAAATTTAATTGCGGTAGGTAGGTATTCGTTTCATCTATTAATATACATAATTAAAATTTTATTTAAGCGCTAATTAAGCTTGCATTGCAGTACATGGCATAGCATAAGCACTGTCACATATAGAAGCTGTTTAATGAGTTATGCCTGCAAGCGGTTACCTGAAGCGGCGCATGGCAGGGCATGACAAGTGAGCTGAATTTCCATTTTTCGCTTTGTGACATTTTCAGAGAGGTGCCATAATAATTTATTAAAATTTGCGTTTAAAGAGCACATAAATTTTAAAAGTTACTTGCGAAAACGGCCCTTAGGGTGTTCCAGTACCCTCAGAAATGCAGCATTTAGTGTCGCTTCCTCGACTGCCTGTTAAAGTTATGTTCCCGTTAAACATCGTTATCGATGTTGTCGGCTGCCTGTGATGGGCATGTGAGCGACAAATTTGACGGGCAGTCAAAGCACCCGTTAACTTTAACAGGCAGTGAAGAAAACGGCCCTTACTCAGAAGTCGTTCTCGTTAACACATTAGGGCATATTCATAGTCGAAATAAATCAATTCTATAGTTAGCTTCCGCTTTTTTTTTACAGATGTCCCATGGAAAATTATGTCAAAAAGTTGCAACTAACTTTAGTGTCGACTTGTTTTGCAATGAATACGCCTTAGTCAATATTAAATCCTACATTATGGCAACAGCTTATTTTTAAAGGTTATGTTATGCGAAGTCTAATCACTTGCCTGTTTCACATGCGCTGCCAGTCTATGCCGCGCACTGCAATGTATAAGTAGTGAGCATAATCTGTGCTTTATTCTTATGCATATACGAGTATGCATGTTAGGGTGGGTAAATTTTTTGTTTACTATGACGAGTTTTGCATAGAAGTATTCTACGTTTGTCTAAAATCTATTTAGAGTTTGCCAAATTGCGAAAATAGGTTTATTTTCCTTAGGATTATGCTGTAGTGTTGTATAGAAGTGCTTAATTTTTTTATAAAATCATGTTATTTTGGTAGGAAGTTCCTTCTATGGACACATACTTTTCCTACAACTTCCCCTTAGGGCGCAACAATGATTACTTTTACAGTTTCTTGCGTCTTAAATTAAAAGAAAACGTATATGTACACATTTTACTTTTCCTTGATTTTTTTTTAATACAACTAATGCCAAATTTCTACTAGGTATTGAAATGGCAAAAGATTGGTGCCATTTAAAAAATGTCATGTGGAAATGTGCTTAAGGCTATTTTTTTTTAAACACCGAAACGATTTTTTTAAGGCAAACTTTCGTTCTGTCAAAGAACAAAACGGAAACAAAGGTCTAAGGAACTTTGTCTCGAAGAACGATTTGGGAACTAAGGTCTCAGGAAATTTCTTACTGAGAACAAAACGGGAACAAATCTTCTCTGAACTATTCACAAAGCGGTGCAGTTGTTTGAAATGTTTTAATATTAAAATTAATAAAAAAAGAACTCAAAGAGAATTATGCAAATTAAGTCACGAAAGTCTTAAGGTCCGAACTTTTCTTGTACAGAAAATGAAAAATTGTTCCAAAAATGGGCAGTTAACCCTAATGACAAACGATCTGGAAGTTGAAATGATCTAGCTTTCTTCTGGCTTAGAGTTAACAATCATCTCTCTCTCTGTTCTCTCGGAAACGATTCTTCATCCCAACATGCAAACGCCCCTCTCATTCCTATCGTTAAGTTCCTACAACTTTTGATCCCCAGATTATCGATCTTAATTTATTCTCCTTGAAGACGTTCTATATACTTTCGTTCTTAATGAAAACGTTCGCAGAAGTTTCGTTCTTATTATGTTCTTCTTGAGAATGTTTCCGATTACTTTGTTCGAACTTTGTTTTCTTTTTTACGAAAACGTTCCAGAACCTTTTGTTCTAATTTTGTTTCCGCTCAAACTGCTCTCAATACTTTTGTTCTCATTTGGTTCTTACACGGGAACGTTCTTGACATTACATTTTGTTCTCATAAAAATTGGGTTAAACTGTTCTAGAAAAATATCCGTAGAAAAATTTAACAGAAGAAAAGTAAAAAATAAAATTAAAGGTGTCTTTAAATGAAGTTTCTACTTCTCAGAAGCTCTAGAAAGTAACTATGAGTCATTAAACAAGAGTAGAATATTTTTTCGAAGACCTTTAATTTGATATGTATCTATATTTTGCAAATTAGAAACTCTTCTTATGTGTGCAACATAAGAAACATTTTTATAATTAGTCCAAATATTTAACTAAATCTCGAAAAATGTACAAAGTAATCAAAGAACAGAAAAAAAAGGGATTAATATTTTTGAAAGGCCTTTAATTAGATACCTTTTTTGCACACATTCGAAATATTTTTGTATTAATTGGAAATTTTAGGATTTGGAGCCATATTTTGACCCATAGAAACCGCTTGAGATTTCTAAAATTCCCTTCTCAAGTTTCCAGTTTGTAGGTCTTTTCATTTGGGTTGAGCGATGAGGAGTTAGTCAGGACATGTTACTTGATGAATATGAAAACCGAAGCATCAGCCTACACGTAATTGAACTTCCTCTCCCTTTTACGATCGTTTTTCCTTCACATGCATTACGCTTCCGACTGCAGCTTGATGTTTTGCGTTTGACGACGATATAACAAAAAAAAAAGTTATGTTGCACCCTCTGGCGGATATTTTAAGTAGTGTTGGGCAGTATCAATAACAAAAGTACTCTGAACTCGATTTTCAAAATGATCGACAGAATCCGATTTTCAAAACTATCGATGCTGAGTACTCCAAAGTACTCAATACTCCCAAAGGAACTCGAAAGTACTCAGTACTCAAAAATACACTGTTCCAATCATCTTTTTGATATATGTACTCAGTATAGATTCAAAGTACTCAGTATGAAGGTTCGAATATATACTTTAAAGTGCTGAGTTTTATTTACATTTACCGGTATTCAGAAATAATTGTAATCAATTTTCAAAAGTTTCAATAGCTTTCAAGTACAGTACTTGTACCCAATACAGTTAGGCATACATTTGATGCAAATTCGGATTAATATATTAATTTGAATAAAGTGCTGCCAGCTTATGAGATTTCTACACTAAGCATTGACATGTTACCAAGATGTGTTTATTTAAAGAAAGTTTGATTCTTCTTCTTCTTTATTGGCGCTGTAACCGCCTAAGTCACTTTGGCCGAGTCCAAAACAGCACGCCAGTCGTTTCTCTTCTGCGCCAACTAACGCCAGCTGGAAATGCCAAATGAAGCCAAGTCCTTCTCCACCTCGTATTTCCAACGTAGAGGAGGCCTTCCTCTTCCTCTGTTGCCCTCGTGGAAGACTAGCATCGTGACAAGAAAAGTGCACAGTACTCTAAAAAATACCCGATCCTCAAAAGTACTCAATATATCCCAAAACTAGTTTTAAGAAACAGATAAATCAAGAAATGGAATTCTCCTACCAAAGTGGCCCCTATAGTATGTTTTTATACAAATTTTGAGCACTTTTTTACGACACTACATCAAAATTTCAAACTCTAAATTGATTTTAGACGCAGGTTTTTTCACCAAATTTCTTTAGAATTTCGCGTAGAATACTCCTACGCTATACTGGCATTGGCGGAAAATCTTCCTTACGAATTGGTCCGCCCTAATGTATGCAATTATTCAGGTATGTGTGTAGCTAATTGTTAAAATTATCGTTGTTCAGTTACTTCTTATTTGTCATATACATATGTTTATGTAACCCATATTTACTCCTATGTAGATATGTATGTATAGGTTTAGGTTCGTCCTGGTGCACTGGGTACATATTTTCAGATGGTTGATATTGCCATTGAGCACAAATCGCATCCTGTTCTGTTTTGTTGTAGCCAGCCCTGAGAAAAGGAAGAGAGAGAGCGGCAGTTAAGCACTCATTCCAAAGCAAAATTTGCGTATCGTCGCTCCTTGCGAAGAGTAAACACATCTCTAATTACCCGTTGAAGACTGGCAAGTTTCATATTCGCGTCGACAAGTTGCACATTTCATATTGCTAAGCCTCGAAAACTTCGACATTTCAGGACTTTTCACGTTTAAAGTAAATCATAAAAACAAAATTTATTTAAAAAAATTAATTGTTTATTTTATATCTCTGTAATCCCTTTAGTAATCATTTGTCTACGATTAGCCACTTTTCCTTTTTTAAGGCGATTCATAGCGTTTTGTGGTTGAACACTGAATTTTTTTTTAATATGTTTTATTTCTCTTAGCTCTGTGTAAAGTCGTATTTTACAGCCAAGTCTACGTAGTTTTTGCTTTTTTTGAAATTTCCCTTTAATTCGTTATCTCTTTCGTTGGCAATGAAAAAATTTGGAAAGTTCTTCGGCGCGTAGTTCTACTACTTCTGAAATGTGCTACTCTTCGTTGGAGCCGACGATATATCTGTGGTCATATGCAATAACCGCCTAAGTCCTGAATTCGAGATAAAAACGTTTTAAACATTTGGATTAGAATGTTAGCCTTATGGGGAAAATAAAAAAAATATTTTCGCTTACAACTTTTTGAGTAGCCTAGCTGGCGAGATGGGGCTTTCACATACGCATGGAATAATGGTTGAAGATTACGATAGCATATATGTATATATAACTCCATTCTTTTTTGTCGACTTAGGCGGCTATTGCTTGTTACCACAGATATAGTACATATGTATACATATATTTTAAATTCACTTTCGAAATACTGACATCATGCCAATACTATAGATTCCAGGGGTTCTTAAACTTTTAAGATGATGGAACCTTTTACTAGAAATAGTATGCATACTTTAAATTTGAATGTATAGAATGAAATTGTTTCACTGTTATTAATTACACTGGATCACAAATTTTAATTTGTGAATTTGGCGTTCTCCAGACGCCACTATCCAATTTGTATGTAGAATCGCCCCCTGATTCCAAAAATCGAGTTAATTTTTATTCAATGGATACGTTTTCGAGATATTTTCAGTTTTCCGTTATTCAGCTTAAAACAAAAGGTGGTTCCACTTAGTCACTTATATCTCATGAATCAACTTAACAAACTGAAAATGAAATGCGGCAAATGAAAGCCAACAAAATTTTCCATAAACCGTCTATACATCACTTTCCGGTAGGATCGATAGTTTCTGACAAATTAATTAATCATTCCAGTTTTTTATTTATTTATTTATTAGTGTCTTGCCACTTTCCAATATCAATTTGGAATGAGTCTGATTCGCCAAAGATTTTCGGCCGTTGTTTCTGTGAAGGTCTGGTGCGAACTTTTTTTGACTGTGTTTTAGATTGACCTCGGATTGAAGGGTTCAAATTCTTCTCATTTTTTATATACAAAAGTCTCTTCCTGAATCAGATTATCAGGAGTTAATAATACGTGTTTCAAGCGCTGTAACAGCACAATATTTTGTTTCTCCTGCGCTATATTTCTTCTTCTAAGCTTTCTGCAGCTAAGGCACCACCGAATTTGATTGAAGATTTTTCTGGAATCAGGTTGGAATAGCGATTGAATACAAAGATGCCATTCGATCGACTTAAGTCTGTTGCAAACAAAGTTGAAGAATATTCCCTTCTTGTCTGTTTATTTTCTTAAGGTATTAAAGCTTAAGTTTGCAGCTATAGTTTACTAAGAAGGATATCCTTATTCAGGAAAGTCTAAAATATCTCAACTCTGTCTCGATGGAATCTGTAGAAAAGTGTGGTTCCAACTTCTCTCACTTCGAGCAGTTATGACAAAACTTACGCTAAGCGTATGCTCAATATCATTTTGCGGAAAGTGACGATAGTCCAACGAACACTAAGAATGCCTACGAGTCAACGTCAGGGTCATAGGGTCTTCTTCTGGTGAAATGGGCTCGAAAATTCTTTATCTTAAACACGTATGCTGTCGGTGATAATACATCGAGGAATAAATAATAAATAAATAACCAAAAAAGAACGAAATATAAAATGGATTTGTTTGCTTGAATATTTATTAACTTAGATTTACTTAAATAAAATGAAAATAAAACTAAGTAATACTGACGTTGCTTAAATTAAATTTATACTCGTAAAACAATTCTAAAATGGGGACTTAACTAAAAATAAAATGTCTGATCGACTTCACACAATTAAAGCTACTTTAAGATCGCCCTAAGCACCAAAGCTAGTACCCCTACAGTAATCAGTCTTTAGTCTACAATCAGTAATCCCAAAAATTATTGGGCGACACCTCGTTTCCTCGATTATAGCGGTAGTCGGGTCGTGGTGGCCGTCCGCCATTCGCTCTGCCATAATAGTAACCTCGCTCTTGCGCATAACGTCCATTACCGCCTGGCAGATCAGCACTCACACGTGAGTTCAAAGTGTCCCAAACTACACGGGGACTATGAACAATCTCGCGGAGAATATTTACCGCGGCCAGACCCACAGATGCAACTTTTACACCCAAGCGGCGCGTGAACGTATCGAAGTTCTCTTTCAAAGTCGGGCNTAAAGCTACTTTAAGATCGCCCTAAGCACCAAAGCTAGTACCCCTACAGTAATCAGTCTTTAGTCTACAATCAGTAATCCCAAAAATTATTGGGCGACACCTCGTTTCCTCGATTATAGCGGTAGTCGGGTCGTGGTGGCCGTCCGCCATTCGCTCTGCCATAATAGTAACCTCGCTCTTGCGCATAACGTCCATTACCGCCTGGCAGATCAGCACTCACACGTGAGTTCAAAGTGTCCCAAACTACACGGGGACTATGAACAATCTCGCGGAGAATATTTACCGCGGCCAGACCCACAGATGCCACTTTTACACCCAAGCGGCGCGTGAACGTATCGAAGTTCTCTTTCAAAGTCGGGCTGGTATCTGCACGCAGAGAACGACCATAGAACTCATTACCCGGGGGTGGCTCCGGATAATGGTAGAATTTCTGTGCCAACCCATTGGGGTGTGTCAATATTTTCTGTATCACATTGCCCGCATTGGGAGGCACATAAAGATCCGCCTGACGAAACATAATGTCACAACGATTCGTACGATAAAAGAAGTCTTCGAACCTTTGATGTGCTGAGCAGGGACTACGTTCCTGGAAGCAGGTGACTTGCACAACGTTGTAGAATATGGCGCCTAGTGTGTTGGCTGTTTCTGTGTAAGTAAAAAAATTAAAAAAAATAAATAAAACGTAAGCAAGAAGGTTAACACAATCTTTCTATAACCTGTGTTTAGCGATTGTAAGCATTTGCGCAGTCGCGCATCGCAATCACAATGCGAACGTGTAAATGNGTAGAATATGGCGCCTAGTGTGTTGGCTGTTTCTGTGTAAGTAAAAAAATAAAAAAAATAAAAACGTAAGCACGAAGGTTAACACAATCTTTCTATTACCTGTGTTTAGCGATTGTAAGCATTTGCGCAGTCGCGCATCGCAATCACAATGCGAACGTGTAAATATGCCGCTATTGCAAAGCCCACGACGGCATTCGCCCACATTGAGCACGTTCGGACAGTGGTCGTGTTCGCGGCAGCAGCGATCCTCTGCGAAATGTGAACCCAAATCACTGTAGTCAACGGCGGCGGTGCCTGAAATATTTTAAATAGAACAACAGTTAATACTTGGCAATATATTGGTGGAAGCGATGAAACCTGCCTACCTGGTCCACACCATTTCGTGCCGGGGTATATGAAACCCAAGCCACCCCGGAACTCGCGTCCATAAGAGCCAGACTTCAAGCACACATCCTCCAGTTCCATAACCGATTCACGTGGCACTTGTCGGATGCGTCGTGGATCTGATTGCAACAGCATGCGCTGGATGTCGCCGCTGTAAAGTGGACGAAAGTGAGATTTTTGGCTTCAAGAATCATAAGGCGTATCTTTACCGATCCGTATGCATTTTGCAGAACGGATGTCGCGATGAAAGCTCCACCATCACTGACATGGCATTATCTGATATTAAAACCGCTGAGCCATCACCACCGTCAGTGAATTCGGTTATTATTAGAACCACTGTTAGCACGAATTTGAAGAGTCTCTTTGACATGCTGCAAAGAAAAAAATTTATACTGGGTTATTTGAGTTTTATACGCAAATAAGCAAGAATACTGAAAACTTCGATTTCGAAGCATTGTTTAAGTACATTTCTTTGGAAGTTTGAAAGAATTGCTGTGTGGTAGGAGAATGCCCGAAAATTTCTTCATAAAACTACGCGACATGCGGAAGGGTTTTAAGACTAGGCCGAACTTCTGTTCGAACAACCACAGTGACTTGGTGACCAATGTCCAGAGCATACTTAAATTATGGAGGGAACGCTTTTCCACATCGTTGAATTGTAACAGCTCTGATATCGGCGGATAAGATGAAACCGAGCTCCTAGTCGAAGAAGACGGAGTCAGTGCCCCACCATTCGCCTATGACTAAATACGAATAAGAAATTGGCGGTTGAAAAACAAAAATTCGCTAGATCTGATGGTCTGCCCTCTGAGTAATTCACGGGCGGCGGTGAGGATCAACTCTTATGCAGAATTTGATCGAATGAATGCTGGCACGACGACTGGAATTTAAGTGCGATGTGCACACCCTGTCCGAGTCGTTCAATACCAATCGAGATTTCAGAGAAGGCGACTCCTTATCGTTCGGCTTCTTTTATCTGATATTGGGTAAGATAACAAGAGCGGCAGAACTGAACGGCTAGGTAATTACATTTGCTGGCATATCACATCATCGGCCTCAGAAACTCTTCTTTTTTTCTGCATTTGGTGGCCCTTGGAGTATTCAACAGAAAGGTCTTGCGGAATTGATTTAACTTATTAAATAAATAGAATACAATTTTTTATCAAGTGGCAACTGCTTGCAAAAAACTTAAACCTTATTGCACATCTGTTGACCAGTGACTTTAATTTGAATTTAAAAAGTGAGTAGTTTCACAATTCAACTTCATTAATTTTAAAAGTATTTNCATTGTACATTTGAAACTAGATATACATACTACATTAATATATTAAAGCAGCTGTAGAAAACAAGAAATTACCAAAGGTCAGCTTGTTATTTCAGTTGATGCAGACGCTCTGTTAGAGGCCTTTTGCCTGACTGAAAATTTAAATATGTACTTAAATTTAGATACCGATACTTTATCAGCAGAATAACTTCAATACGCATACATACATATGTGGGAAAATAGCTGAAAACGACCCACATAGCAAGCATTAATCAAAAAGTGTGCCTAGCAAGAAGAGGTAATCGAGTGAATTGCTTGCGGGAAAAAAGTCTCACGAAACGAGATAATAAAAATAAAACACACAAATAACTACTTATCACTTTATGTCTAAAAAATTTTTAGATTGAAGAATGCATTTGTCTAACCAACATATACATAGATATGTACATGTTTCCAAACCGAAAATGCAAGTAAATTGGTCCAAATGACTTTATAATTTTAAATTTCGTATTAGATGGCAAAAAGAGATTATGAAAACGTGCATCGTTGGGAAGAACTGAAAAAATTAAATTAGAAATTAAGTTATATACATATTTATGTATGCATGTATTATTAATTAAATATTGTATGATGGAAAAATCTGTCGCGGCCATTAGCAAAATAAGATATTAAATATGAATTGGTTGTAATGGGCGCGTTTCTAAAACGCAGCTGTTGTTAAACTGTTAAGTGTTTGTCTTCGAAACGGACAGTTGAATAGTTCCGCTCAGCTCAACAGTTGGCAACTTTCCGCCATTTTTCCAAGCGGAAAATTTTTACGCTACCTGAACTCAACGTGTTGGACTTAGCCTAAACAGCTGATCGTAAAGACTTACACTGCTTGTGTTAAATTTAACGCCGCTTTGTTAGGTGGCAGTTGCAAACAAATTTATTCTATATTTTATACTAATACCACGTTTCTAAATATATGTTTTTAAGATGTTTACTATATAATTATACAGTGTTTAATTCATTATAGCATTGAATGGTTTTTCAACGCGGCGGCAGCTCAGCGTTGAATTCTAAGTACTATCGGCGCAACTATCTCTATTTATTGCAATTTCATTTGTTTACATTTATCAGCTGTTCATTTGGCAGCATATTCATCAAGCCGTTTCTAAGACATAATTATTGGGTCCAACAGTTGCCAGCAGTTCCGTAGCAGTTGAGCTAAACAGCTACGTCTTATAAACGCGCCCAATGATCCGTAATAAACATGTTTAAGTAGGGAAAACTTTGCAGGATTCGCAAAGTTTTGCTTATTTTTACAACGACTCTAAAACCACTTTTGTTTTTGTTACGTCCGTCACGACTTCCTTTTTATCGATTTACCCGACACCAGTGTTCCAAGCCTACCAAATTTTTTTGTCATCAAGTGACTTCCGTTTTCGTATGATTTATTTAACGCTAAAGTCGTACGAATGCCACGTCCGACATTATGAAAACACTCATATATATGGTGTGTCTAAACTTTTTTGATTGGGACGTATCCATGAGGTTGTAGCGGTATCTGTCGTTAAATTGGCGTCTAGTCAATAACGCCAAAATGATTGAGACTTAGTGCAAATGTTGCACCAGTTGCGCCCATTTTAGTGCAGACTCGGTGGTTCTTCAAAGTAAACCTCCAACACTTGGTCGGCAAATTCTAAGAGTAATGATTCGGTAAACAATCATATTATATCAGTACGTCAAAGGAAGACCAAAACAGATATTGCCGTTGTTTACGAAAGTGTGCAGACCGAGATCGTCAATTTTTTGACCGCGGACTATGTGAACGTAGGCGACACTAGTAGCTCAGTGCCACACAGCGCTGACGCCACAAGGACCGTTTGTAAAAATTATTTGATTATATAGTTAACTCTAGCGGAGATTACCTGAATATTGTCCAATTTGAGGTCTTGTTAACTATCCTAACTAAATTAACTAGTTAACTATCTCCAAACCAAATTTAACAAGGGATGACTGAAACTGTTCCAAATACATCATACTCCTACCCTTTCGGAAACACCAACAATGAAAATGAGAAACCTAAACAGGATTGAATTCGGGATTATAATTATCAGAGCGTGGATAATTGTATAATCACACTGTAAGAAGTTAGTAAACCGATCCACTTATAGCTTAATTTGCTAAACATAGAAATTCATTTGAACGCTCTGGTCTGAAGTTTGAATTTTTAATTTAACGCTTTCGTGTCAAGTATGCCAAACTAGGACAAAGAACGACAAAAGCTCGGAAGAGCCCCCTCTCATAGTTTACAAATAACTTCAAGGTCCGGTATATGTAATGCTTGCATGAATACATGTTTCTAATACTTAGTAGGATCCTATTTTCCAGTAGGAAAAAAATTCACTGAAAACGGCCGCAAGCTCAATACTTGTGTTGAATATAATTGTTATAAAGCCATAAATAACAAAAATAAGTAGGAACAAAATTTAAATGGTTCTAACATTTGATTCGTTTTTCTGAGGAAGTGATTTTCCTGGGTACTTCAGATAGACATATTTCAATGTCATGTCTACCGAGTTTTATGGAGAACTAGGTTTCACTGAAGATAATGGATTTGACGTACTATATTGGACTCGGCCAAAATCGCAGAGGCGGTTGCAGCTCTAGCCAGAAGAAGATATTCAGTTTCTTGAAAATTATAGTTAGAGGCCATTACAGTTATTTTTATGTGTGTTTGATTATTTTTTAATATACTAATTAACAACGCATTTCAATTTATATTCGCTCTTTATGTGTATCATTTTTGTAGGTCAATTTGGATTCTATTTAATTTGATTGCTTATATTTTTTCAATGTAGCAATTCCATATAGTTTTCCCTCAAGTTTACTAACAATGTACATATGTATATATTCATAGTATCATTGACTTCAGTTAGCAGAACGGATTGCAAAGTCGTAATGTGCAAGGTAAAATAAGTTAGTCGAGCCCGAAATATAATCACATACATACATATACATAACATACATATGTACATTACATGAACGTATGTGTCATACATACCTATGTATATACATAAGTACGAATTGAAAAGGTGAAGGTCTATAAAATGCTTCCACAATGCTTTTTGCCCAAAGAATACTGGAACAAACTAATTTTATAACCGGAATATAAAGTTTTTGTCAATTTTTAAACCCCTTTCGCATTCTGCACACTCTTGTAACCGGTAAATTTGCTTACCATCTAAGAATTTTAGTAATCAAGAAAAGATTTCTTAACTTTTTAAGCAACAGATAATTAAAATTGATTATTCTTTATAGCCGCTATTAATTTCAATCTGTAGCAGCTGTTTAGTTAAGAGGCACTCGTGTTCTTTCGTAAGGGCGTATCGGGCCAGAGCGTTTCGGACTCTTGATATTTTCCGTCACCGGTCGTTCTAAGTGTATGCATATAAAATCAAGAGAAAGCTGTAAAAAGGTTCTACGCCTGTCGAGTTTTGGTTGTCGCCGTTTTATATCAGTTTTATATAAGGCACGATCAAAACATATCCTGATGATAGGATACCCATAAATACACGTTAGGTTAGGTTAGGTTTAAGGTGGTTGTCCTCTGAAGTGGGCTCACTTAGACCGTGAAAATTGGTACTTTGTGATGCCACTACGAACGGTAACTGCTACGGTAGAGCGATAGTCCCTGAGTGCCGAGAACCAAGTTTCGTAGGCGGCCAATCTTAATCCTGGAGAGTATGAACCCGAGTGCCTAAGCCGCAATCTGGCAAAAGCCGGGCAGTCTAGGAGGAGATGCTGAGATGACTCCACCTCGTCATCATCCATGCACTGCGACAGAAGGGTCCGGTAAGATATTTAATCTCACTGCAGGAACCCTGATAGGAAAATTCCCTATCACTACACCCACCAGACTCAGAGATTTCCGGCTTCGCGAGCTTAAGGAGATCCCTAGACCACACCCAGTCCACCCTCGGCCAGTAAGACCTCGCCGTAGCGCATGCCCTGGTATTCCTCCTGCGATCGCTGACCCGAGACCCGTCTTCCTAAAGGATTCCACAAGTAGTCAAGGGAACTCCCACCATCTCCCTTCTTGGCGATAATTCCTTAAGGGTG